GCCAAAGACTTGGTGAAGTGCTTCAGATCTCACTTCAAAGACCTGGACCCGGCAGCTTTCAGAAAGGATGTGGAGGAGGTTATAGCACAGTATGAGGGCTTGCTGGCAGACATCATGGATGAGACAGTTCGGCCTTCACAGTCTGTGCTGAGGGACGGCTTGGTCAGATCTTATGACGTCAGTGGCAAGGATGCTCGCGCAGTGGCAAGGGACATATCTGCTTGTTTCAAGCATTTGAGGAGCAAGCTGCAGTCCAGCAGTTCCGGGAAGAAGCTCGCGCCCAGTGTGTGGAGGCTTGTGTCGAAGCTCAAGCAGCTTACAGGGCAAGGCACTCCGCAGAAAGCCATGGATCCCATGAAAGAACGCGAGCCCGTCGAGACACCTGGCGCAGCACAGGCTCTTCCTGCAGGTGACCCTGCACCCTTTAAGCCAAGCAGAAGATACCGTTTCAAAAGGAAGGCTACAACTTCGTGCGATGTTTTCAGCATGTATGGTCTTCCAGCCACTGCCAGTAATGCATCAGTTGACGATGAGGCAGCTGCAGAGGCCTCTGACGTGGGAGAGGCAGACCAGGTGGACTCAGATTCAGATGTTTTGGTTGTGAAAGACTCGGAGGAAGAGGATCTCCAGGCAGCTGCTGCAATCCCTTTGGCAAAAGCGTACTTTGACCCCAGCCAGGGCTGCTATGTCAAAGCCTTGGAAGGAGGCAAGCGCATTCATGGCGAGTTGAAGGAAGGAGCAGCTGGGTTTTGCATGGTTCACTTCCCAGACGAAGTGCCATTTGAGAGCCAAGTCCCGAATCTATGGCTGTCGAGTCGCAAAAGCACGCCGGCTTTCAAGTTCTCCAAGCGCGGCAAGGCCGCCTTCGGAAAGGCCAAGAAGAAGGCGAAGCGAGCCGCAGAGCCTGCTGGAAAGGAGGCAGAGGCTACTGTGGGATCCAGCGAGTCCGGCGAGAGCAACCAGGAGTTGCTAGCAGCCGCGCCTCTGGAGCTGGAGTCTTGGAACGGGTACCCTCTAGCTGGTATGCCGCAGGAGGCGCTGCCGCCTTCCGGATGCTCAGGCCTGCACTCCTACACCGTGAAGGCTCTGATCCTTGGCACTAGTGTGAGTATAGATGTTCTCATGCGAGGCAAGGCCTTTTTATATAAAAAGACCAGAAATCTGCAAGGGGCAGCACAGTTGGTCGAAGCACAGCAGCATCACGGAGTGCTGGGTTCAGTGCCTTGAAAAAATCAAGGACACGCTAAGGGACGAGAAGGACGCTGTGCCAAATTTGGAGTGAACATATTGCATTTGAACAAACCAACTGGATCGCTTAAAAAGGCCTGCCCCGCAGACCATGCCGTTTTTGGATTTGCATGACGTTTTGAGCAGCATCAATTGTTTGCAAGATTTTTTGGGGTTTGTTGAGTTGCATGACCTTGTGTGTTTGTGCGTTGCATGAGCGTTTGGACCGCAGCCATTTTTATGTGCGCGCCCTTTCAGGACTTTGCTGGCAAGCATGCGTGTATATGCAGTTGTTGATGTCACTTGTGCCTTGTGCATGGCGCAGGCCTCCTTGGCAGGAGGGTATAGCTTGATCTCTTTTGTGCAGGCCGCGCCGCGTCCAAGGTTGCCAGATCTTCTTGTGCATGGCCAGGACTGATCCTTCAGGAAGTTTCTTTGTGAAGGCCATCCTCCTTGGCAGGAGGAATTCAATGTTGAAGTGCAGTTGCCGCGCATGCATGCGTGCCCTGACTTAGTCTGCAGGTGATGATGCCAGCATCTGCCGGCCCAAAGTCTCCTTGGAGGAGACAGGGTTGCGCACGAGCTCTTTGTTAACTCATTGCTTTGTTCTGAGATGCTTTGGCCATGTTGCTTGCATGACAAATGTGCGCTTGTTGGCAGATATGTTTGAGCTCAAGTGGCTATGATGACAGGCATGTCAGCACATGATTGCATGATATGGTCACAGTCAGGCAGCTTGCATAATCATGGCTGGCAGTAGCAAGAGCGGCTATGGCAAAGAGTGGAGCAAAGAGTGGAAAGGCCCGATCCGGGCTTGGAAAGGGTCTGATTGGGGCAACGAGGCCTTGCTAGACCTCAGGTTTTGCAAGGCTTGCAAGACGAAATCGTATCTCAGAGGATCGCTATGCGCGAATTTGTTGTGCAGCCAGTACTACATGCACCAACAGCCATCCTTGGCAATGTGGAAGAAAGGAGTGAGTGAAGAATGTTGGTCGCCGCAGTCCTGGAAGAAGAGCGGATTCAGTGATGCGGTTTACCAGAGGCACCTCACAGAGGAGTGGGCCCAGATGGAGGAGGAAGAGCACGAAGATTCGGACGAGATGGAAAAAGTCGTCATCGAAGAGGTGGCCAGCAGTGAGGAAGAGACCGCTGCTTGGAAGAAGCAGCAAGAGGTGCCTGCGGAGGAAGGTGATGCGGCCCGGGCAGGGTACCAGTGGGCAGTGAAGGAAAAAAAGGCAGCCGAGCTCTTGAGCGCCAGCATTAAGATGGAGAAAAGTGCCGATGTCCCTTTGGAGACAAAATCCTACTATGCGAAGTGGGCTTTGCAGGAGGCCCAAGGAAGGGACGAAGCTCAGGAGAAAGCAAAAATGCTTGGGAAACCCGCAGAGGATTTCAAAGAGCTGGCAACTCTGCACCCTTGGCGTGTTGGTGGAAAGGAGCGCCAGGAAGAAAAAAAGAATGAGAATGAGAAGAATGAGAATGAGAAGAATGAGAATGAAAAGAATGAGAATGAAAAGAATGAGAATGAAAAGAATGAGAAGAATGAGCAGCCGGCGGTGGTGGCCACTCAGCAGGATGCGTTTGAAAGCTGGCAAAGATCCTACTGGGGGACAGGTGCTTGGGCGCGCGACCACGGCTGGGAGGAAGAGCCCGCGAAGGGTAAAAAAAATAAGGGACGGAAGCGAAAAGCTTGGTTGGAGGCTCAGATCGATTCTTTGAAGGTGAATGGAAGGTGGGTTGGGCCTGGCCATCCCAGCGCAGTGGCAAAGGCCATCCGGCTGGCCAAGGACTGCCTTGAGAGATCACATTGATTTGCCATGTTTTTTTGGGAGTGTCCTTTTTTGTGTGTGAATCTACCCTGCAGGAAGGCGATACTTTCAAGAAGCCCGAGAATAAGCCCGCAGCAGATCCGTCGGAGAAGGAGGCCAGTTTTTTTTTTACGGTTTTGATACTTGTGCAAGATGCTTGTCCTGACCAGGCAGATGCTTGAGTGGCCAGATCAGATCACGATACCGTGGAATCTTCGAGCGTGATGGGAAAATGCATGCCAGATGTGCTCAAACTTGTTTGCCTCAGACAAGTTGCCATGGTTCTTGCATCTTGCCAAACATGTCTGGGGTGTAGGAGCGTGCTTGGACAGCTGCTGCCTCAGACAAAAGGCCTCCCTGGTGGGAGGATTTGTTTTTTGAGAAGGACTACCTCCTTGGCAGGAGGCTTAATTGGTATGGTCTTAGATTGACTTGCGATCAAAGATGCATTTGTTTGTCTGTTTGGCATGTCTGCATCTTTGATTCACATTGCAAGGTGCTAGGAATTCCTTTAACTCAGATGTTATCCTTGTGGACTTCGCCATGCAGCCAGGGCCTCAGAATATCAGACTTGTAGCCACTGTTCAAGTATGTTGCTGGTTGTAAGCGCCTTGCAGCGCTGGTAGACTGTGGTTTGACTTGACTTGGTCTGTGCGCATGGCCATGGCAAGCCTCCTGAGAAGGAGGCATCCTCCTTGGAAGGAGGCTGGCTGCACCTTCACTAATAGACATTGGGGCTGTGTGCCCATTGATGGTTTTCAGCTTGCAGTCAAGTGTGTGCGTTGTTGTTTGGTGTGACTTGCCAAGTTTCTTCGGTCTTGCAGCTTCACTGATTTGATATTGATCGCACCATGATCACTGCATTTGGTGTTGGTTAGGAAATCAACAACACACAGAAAATTTTTAACAATCATTTTTTAACAAATTTTTAACTGTTAAAAATTTTGATTTTAAAAGGAAACTCCATTTAAAATCAAAATTTTTAACAGTTAAAAATTTGTTAAAAAAATGATTGTTAAAAATTATTGTCCGGGTGTGGGAGTAATATAATATATTTTGTGGGTGCAGGCAACCCGGGATGGGGTTGTGACTTGATATAGTTGTTCATTTTTGTTTGGTGTATACATTGCATTTTGAAGGATTACAGTAGTGCTATACATTTGACATGAATCTATGAAGATTGAATCAGGTAGGATTGAGTTTGCTGTTTGACACTCCCTTGTGAGGCGATGGTTTGCAGCCATTCTGGTTTGTTTTAGCCAGATCCCCACAGTTGTCAGCCATCCTGATGGGGATCCCGTGCTGCTAAGCTACTGGAGCAATTTGGCAGGAACAATCTGTCATGTAAGCCTTCATCAGTCAGGCTGGGAGAGCAGGACGCCTTGGTACAGATTGCCTGAGAACATTGTACCGTCGCCAAGTCTCCTGAGTAGTTTGCAGCAAAGCCTGCCCAATGCTGGAGATAATTTTGGGCCAGGTAGAAACGAACTAGAAGATCTCAGAAGGATGTACGGTTTCAGAGGCTGAGCTTGGCATTGGAGTGTGCCAAAACAAAAAGGCTCGGGCGCATAGTTTGAATATCAATCCAGAGTGTTTAAGATAAAGACACGCGCGCGGCAGTGTTTCTCTAGGTGTCGAATGTTGAGAAGGCTCAAGCTTAGGTCAGGTAAGGATCATGGCTCCCAAAATGGGGAAGACTGCCAAAGCTATGGCTGCAAAGTCAGCTGCCAAAGCTACAGCTGGCAAGAAAGTCAAAAAGGAAGTGAAAACAACGCCCAAGGCAAAGCCGAAGCGTGTCAAGGAGCCTGTTTTGGAGACTGTTGGCGATGCCTCGGCCTCAGACCAGGCTGCCAAAAGGGAAGATGGCCAGGCGCCCATGGAGCATGATGGGTCTGGGGCCCCACCAAGCCAGCTGGGCTACGCCAGAGGCACAGTGAGCGCGCTTCTCACTTCGCTAAATACCAAATGAAGGCAAAGAAAACCAGTGACTCCCAGAAGGATGACGCACAGAAGGTGTTGCAGGACCGCCGCATGCATGTTTGAGTTTGTAGTGGGCTTCTTGGCCAGCTACTTAACTGACAGCTTGATCTCCTTGGTAGGAGTACGAAGCGGGCACCATTGAGGAGAAGAAGTTGATTCTGGACAAACTGCAAGAATTCGGAGTGAAGAATTGCAGCTGGGTCCACAGCCTGGAGTCCCTGACATCTAACATTAAGGACGAGACTGAGTCCTTGGTCACCAACTTCTTCACCAGGTTGTTTGGCTTAGTAGTGGCTTTTGTTTTTCTCTTCTGCAGTTTCATGGCTTGCTAGCAGCATTCTGGGATTGCGCCAACGCAGCTGAGGCAAGGGATCTTCGAAATCGAGCATATTGACACAGCCGGCCTGTCAGAAAATGACAAGGATGAGATTTTGGAGGAGATCCTCTCCAAATCTGAGAAGAGCTTTGGCCACTCGAGGCAGGTGCAAGAGCACTCAAAGTTCAAGCAGTTGCACAAGTACCTTTTTGTTTACACCAAGGGCAAGAAGAACACTGAGGGCACAAGGACAAGCAGCAGCATGTCAAGCACTGCTGCGGGCATGAAGGGCAAGGCAAGCCAAAAGATGGCTTTGGACTTGCTGGGCCGACCAGAGTTGGCCAGTTCTTCTGCAGCTGAGCATGGCATGTCTGCGTCTTTGTCTGAGGCCAAGTCTGAGTCAAAGAGCCTGCAAGCTGCGAGGGTTCGCCTCAGCAAGCTGTTGGAGACTTAAAGCTCCTGACAGCAGAGATCGCTGGCCTGAAGGATAACAGCTGGGGCAAAAAGCTAGGAGAGTTGGAGAACGCTGACCAGCAGTTGTCTGGCTTTTTGTCAGAGGTGAGGACGCTGGCCGTTCCCTTTCCAACCGACAAGCAGCAGGAGGTGCCAGATCTGCTTGCCCAGCTGAAGGAATTGAATGAGAAGGCAAGCATGCACGAGAAAGCAGTGAAGCTGATCTACAAAACAAGCAAGAGTTTGCTCTCCTGAGAAGATATAGTACAGGAGCCACGCCTGTGGATTTTGTTTGCAGGCTTGTCCTAGAGATGGACGAAAAAGCAGCAGATCGAGTCATTGAGATCATGCTTCGGGCATGTGTCTGCATGCCTCTTTTATTTTCTTGGCCGGTTGGCTCAAGCTGTAGTTTGAAGTTGGCCCACAATCACTGCAGTCACAGTTCAAAATAAGATAAAGCAAAGCTAAATCTCTTAAGCGCTCGCCTGTGCACTTGTTTGGTAGGGCAAAGCAGAAGAGCCTCCTTGTTGGAGGAGATGTACAACAAAAGGACACTGCCATGCGAGGAAGTGAATGACATTCCTCCGGAGAAAAGGTTTCGAGCAGACATGATTGACATTTTTTTTAACAATGACTTATCTGGACAAAGGTCAGCCAGAGTATTAGGCAACGCTTCCTTGGCTGGAACGCAGCACATCCAAGATTTGCAGGTGGCGCCAGGCAAGAATGCTTACAGAAATTTGCTGCGAAAGTGTTTTCGAAACACAAAATGGCCTGCGCCGTATGAGCTGCAAGTCACAGCCTTCAATGAGGCTACGGACGCAGAGGAGAAATCCAAGCTGTGCATGCTGATGCCGCATGAAGTGGTTCACGCGCTGTTGAAGGTGAATGACCCTCGGGTCTTGCTGGAGCACCAACGGGCAATCTTGGCTGAACGGCCCGACCTGGAGCAGCATGTAGCAAATTTCGACTTGGCCAAGGATGATAAGGTGCTGCTCTTGGGGCTATGGATCGATGGAGTCCCATTCAATTCTGACAGATCGCAGACTCTGGAGACCATTACATGGTGCTTGTTTGGGGAAAAGGGCTTGAGAGTGCCCTTGTGTGCTTTTCCGAAGGCGATGCGAGCTAAGGGAAAGACATATGAGTGCATTTTTGAGGCATTGGCTTGGAGCTTCAGGATCTTATTAGTAGACAAAATGCCTCACCAGAGGCACACGCAGCAGGAATTCAAGAGTGATGCCTATAGAAAAAAGTTGGCAGGCAAACCAGTGGGAGTGTGCGCAGCTCTGGCAGAGATGAGAGGAGACTGGTCAATGTACAAGGAGGTACTAGATTTTCCAAGCTGGTCTGCCAAGGGGCATATCTGCTGGCTTTGCAACGCCACCAAGACTGACTTGAAAGATTTCAGCAACGCAACATTTGAGAAGTGTCTTGTCTGAGATTGTTAGATAAGGGCTTAATTTGTGGTTCATTCGTATAGGCATGACGCAGCCCTAGCAGGCTAGCCTGCTCTTAAGAATTCTTGTGCTGGCTTTCGTCTGCTCAGGTATCCTTTGATTTCGGCGATGGATTTCTTCTTGAGGCAGCAGCAGTCTGGAAAACTGATTTCAACTCTCTTTTCAGTTCCTGGCTTCACTACTCAGAGCTGCAAGGTGGATTTCCTTCACTGCTGCGACTTGGGGGTGACGGCTGACTGGCATGGCTGCTTGCTTTTTTACATTCAGCAGCAGAAGATCGCAGGAGTTTCCATGCGCGTCAGATGCGCCAAGCTGTTTCATGATATTCAGCAGTTCTACAAAGACAACAAGGTTCAAGACAGGTTGCCAAAGCTTCTCCCCACCATGTTGAGACGCGAAGTCAAGGGAAAGAAGAAAGTTCCAAAGCTTCAAGTCAAAGCAGGAGAGAGCAGAGCTTTGGCGCCGTGCTGTTTGCAGCTGGCCACTCAATACATGGACGCAAGCATACCTCATGAGTCAGCTATGCTGCAGGGTTGCAAGCACTTGCAAGCTATGTACGCTTGCTTGAGTGCGGCGAACTGGGACGCTGACAAATTCCTACGAGCAGCGCAGAAGTTTCTGTTGCTCATGCGCACCTGGGAAAGTTTCTTTGGGGAAGATATTTTGTTTCGAGTGAAGCCCAAAGGGCACTTACTTCTGGAGCTGGCTAGGTCCAGAACCAATCCTGCGCACACTTGGACATATCGAGATGAGTCGTTTGGCCACACATTGGCATTGCTGGCCAGACGAAGAGGAGGAAAGTTTTCCATGGCAGCAGTTTCCAAAGCGACATTGCTGAGATTTCTTGCTGCCAACAAGGTGCCTAGACTGGACATGTGAAGTATATAGCGCAGGGCAGCGAGCTTCAGAGGTTCTTGCTAGCAATATACAAAACAGAAAACGGTGTAAAATGAAATTATGCAAAAAAAGCGCATTCCATATAAATTGAAAGTTGCACAACTCAGAAGCAACAATGCTTAATTAAGCACTGTTTCTACAATGCTTAATTAGACAATGATTGCTTAATTTTTTTGTCATAAACAATCCTTAAAGTTAAATAAGCACTTTTGGAGGCTCTGGGGCTGCGGCGGATCGAATAAGCATTATCGAGAAAGCGAGAAAGCGAGAAAACGAGAGCTCGGGATCTTTTTTTTTTCGGTTCCGTCAGTCTACGCCCAGCATCGGCTCAGCCGCAGCGGCAGTGTCGGAGCGGGCCCCAGAGGCGGGGGCCCCACGAGGAACTCCATCACGAGGTCGAAGGGCGCGGAGCCGGGCGGAGCGTAAGCGCCCAGCATCCGCAGCTGCTCCAGGTTGCGCCAGTGTCCCAGCGGGCGCGAGTTGTGAGCGTCGAGGCCGTAGACCTTGTCGTTGAAGGGCGAGAGGGACATCTTCTCGACGGTCTCCACGGCGATCTCGTGCGCGCGGCTGCGCAGCTGCGCGAAGGTCGCCCTGCGCTCGCTGCCTTCCTCCAGCACCTCCCTGTACTCGAGATGCCGGACGTTTGTCACCGCCTTCTTGGGCACGCCCTTGATCTTGCGCTTCTCCTTGCGCGCGCCGTCGGGCTGGACCGTGAGGATGCTGTACATCTTGGAGCGCAGGCCCACGTACTCCAGGATCCTGGCGGGGAAGGTCTCGTCGCCGAGCTTGCCCAGCTGGCCCATCACCTCGATGGCCTTGGCGCGCGCCGCTGCAGAGAGCGCGCTCCGGTCCCTCTCGGGGTCCTTGGACTTGCCGGCCACGTCGAAGAGGGCGGCGCCGTTCAGGTTCGCCTCGGCCATGGCGTGGAGCGGGTCCTGCAGCTCGAAGATCTGCACCATCACGGAGTCGGTGTCCGTGAAGAGCAGCCTCATCTTCGGGAAGCGCCTCCTCATGTGGAGGTAGTAGGCCTTCTCCATCATGAGCTTGGAGAGCTGCAGCGTGCGGGCGCCGACTTGGGTGGGCACGCTCATGCAGGCCTTGCTGCGGTCCGTCTTGAGCGTCTCCACGAAGGCCAGGAACCCCTCCGAGTCGTTGATCTGGAGCTCGAAGTTCGTCACGTAGCTCTTGCCCACGGCCCGCTCGAACTTGGCCGGGTCCACGTAGGCGTTCGTGTTCCTGAACTTGTCGGGGTTCATGCAGCAGCGGCCGAAGATGGCGTTCTGGGTGAGCTTCACCACCTTCTCGGCGACCACGCTCCCCGCCGTCTTGAGCTGCCTCCGCTCGCTGTGTCCAAGTGGTCGTGCACCTCCGGGGAAAGTCGTAGTCCACGAGGAGCAGATAACTCACCTCCTCGGAGTCGGACTCCCAGTTCAGCCCGGAGAGGCACGTATCGTGCAGGGGTTTTCTTCTGGCAGGGCGACCGTCTCGCAGGGGCCGTTGGGCATGGGTAGCGACATTGCAGCTGGGTACATGGCGTTGAAGTCCAAGTACAAGATCCAGCTGACGGGCTCCTCGGAGTTGTAGTCCTCCTCGCCCAGCTCGGGGTTGTTGGCTTGAGCGAAGGGTTGTAGAGGACTCGGCTTGATCGCGGCCTGACGGCCTTGGCCTTGGCCTTGGGTGCGGCCTTTGGCTTTGGCGCGGCCTTGGCCATGGGCATGGGCCTCTCGGACTCGCTTCCTTCTGCCTCGCTCTCGGTGCCGTCGTTGTCGCTGTCCTCGCCGAGCTCTTCGCGCGGTGCCCTGCAGACAGGAGAGCCCATCGTGGCGATGTAGCGCAGCAGGAAGTGGAAGTCGTAGCCGCCCCCGTTGTGAAAGACCACTGGGATGGTCTTGGGCGTCTGGGCCGCGATGTTGCAGGAGTGGCACAGCGCCCCGAGATACTGCCCGGTGCCGTGGCAGTGGTGGAGCTTCTTCTCGGCGGTCTCGAAGGACGCAAGGCACTCCCTGCAGTGAGTGGCGGCCCTGTGCTCCAGCTCCTCCCGCCGGGTCATGCTGACGGGCCGAGTTCGGCGTCTCCAGTTGAGGTAGTGGTCGGCCAGCTTGAGAAGGTCGTCCAGCATGGCGCGGACGGCGTGGAACTTGTCGCTGTCCCGCTCGTGGTGCGTGAGCCTCAGCCTCAGCTCCTCGGGTGGCACGTAGCCGCAGCGCCCGACAGCGACGTAGCAGGAAGAAGCCGCGACGGTCTGGCGCGCTGGCTGCTGCTGCGCTATGTGGACCGTCGGGGCGTGCTGTAGGCCTCGAGGTCCGCGTAGCTGAGGGGCGCGAGCTCTGCGGAGGCCTTGCCCCTGTAGCGCAGCAAGCTCTTCCCGGGCCCGGGCAGCGGCGCTTTCCGAGTGCGCTCGGCTATCTCTCGATAGCACTGGGTGGCGCGGTGGCGCTGCCACGAGGCCTTCGCGGCGAAGCGGGCCATGCACCTCGGGCACTTGTACTCCATGCAGCCGCCAGTGTTGGTGGGCGTGGCTCCCAAGGTCAGCCCCTGTCTGCCGGCCAGCGCCTGGAAGTTGTGGATCAGGCTGTAGTGGCCGCTGTGCAGGAGAAGCAGCACGGTGTGCTGGACGACGCCCGTGCCGCTCGGGGCGCGCTGC